TGTGGTATAGAATTTTTCTGAAGTGAAGAATAAGAAGAAATGTTGACTTACACAGCTGCTTGAGTGGAATTACCACACTGCAGCTACCACATCTACTGTTGTAACATGTACAGCATTTTTGTAAAGCAAAGTACTGTCTGTGAATACTACTTGAACTTCATACTCATTACCCTTTTGATTTTAGAAGCTTTATTTTCAAAAAAGCAAGGATCAATGCCTATTAAGTTAAACCTGCCAATTAAAGCGTACACATGTGTAAACATGCAGAAAATACAGAGAAGATAGAAGGCAGCTTATTAACTTAGAAGTTTTCTGTGCTTACAGAAACAATATTCATTATATTGTTTTCAGTAATGATAATATTGGTATATTTTGACAATCTTCAGAAATGGTTGTATAATGACTATGCTTACTAAGGCAGCTTGTTAATCATTGACAAGAGCCGTAATGATTAAGCAGCTGTAATTTACTAGTAGTGTTTGAAAGTACAAAAGGGTATGCAGTTTAATAGTTAAAACAATAAGCAATTCATTTATATTTCACTAGCTGTTAGGTTGTTCTTACATGTGCTCAGCTTTTAAAAAGACTGCTGAATTTTAAATATTGACTGTAAATGTGGTAAAGCATGGTGCAATTTGGGCAATACCAGGCACGTTGCTGAAGGAGCCGTTGCCATGTTGAGAGTTCAGCTATCGAGCCTTTCCTTTGTTTTCCTGTCAAATGATAGCTGTTTTGTTTCAAGGTAGGCTTCAACGTTCACTTAATCTTTTAAAAATACTTGTGTTGGACGAAGAAGTCATACTTGGAGAGGTGAATGTGATTCAATAGGGAACTTGGAGTGATGTTGGGTACAAGGAGCCTAGTGCCTCTTGGAACTTCGCCAGCTCTCCTGGGGCCAGGATACATATCTGCAGAGGAAGATAATGTTTCTGGGCTGTGAACAACTGTTTTAGCCTGGGAGAACTTCACGAGGAGCACAGTGGAGGAGCAGTGCCCATCATACGCTCGCTCTGCCGTTCCTCACTTCCTTTTTTGTTGATGGCTCCTTAGGGAGTCACATTTGGTACCCTCCTTTGGATTGCCGGAGAACAGTTGTTATTATTCTCGGCTCTCAGTACAAAAACAACTTAGGTCAAGGTTTCTTTAGTCTTTTCCTCACTACAAAATAGCCGCGTCACAGGAACAGCAATTTAATTTCATTTTAACAAATGAAATACTTAAAAGTGATGTCTCGTTTCTCAACTTGAGCATATTATCTTCCGTTTTCATCAGGAATATCAGATGCAGAATGTAATGTTTTGGACTCTGTTGGACGACTAACAGCAAACAGCAGTTAGTCCCAGGTGTTACTGAGCAGGTTCATGCTGCCTCAACAGAGGAGTTGTACAAAGATGTTCAAGATTGAAACTACTGGCAGAGAATAACAGATGACGTTAACCAGAAATGTTTGCAGTTGATTCTTTTCCTTCCTTTGTGAATGTAACATTTTGTAAATGCACGCTGCATCTGCAAAATTACTCTCTATCTTGAGTATTCAGGAGATTGGAAGTGTTGATCTGAATAAATGCAGATGGTTTAGCAGTAAAATCTTTGTCAGATAATCTGCAATAATTTGTGCCATTTTCTTTTGGTGTGTGACCACACAATCCTACAGCATTAGGTTAGTTACTTTATTTTTAAGTAGTGCTTTATTTAGAGTTCTCATTCATATAATTTCTGATTATTTTTTTCCTTCAGTAACTATGGTCATGTATGTTACAGTATCAAATGTAGATATTCCTCAGTATTTTTTCAGGTTACAAACTGGTAGGATTTATAAGAGAAATGAAGGTTGTTCTATGAGACAGGACAACTGTCGAGCTTTAAAAGAAAGTGACAATTGGAATTTATTTTACTGAACAGATTCAGATTATGGAAATATCGTAGGGACTATAACTGATAGTAATTACTCAGTCTTCTGTGTGAAAGAAGTTATTTTGTTCCAGTGTTCCAGTAAAATGTTCTGTTATGTTGTAAAATAATTAGGCATCACAATCAGTATTGCTTGGATACTCTTAAAAAGAAAGCTGCACCAGCATCTCAGCTGATCCCTTCAGAAAGAAGTTGAGATGTGCATGAAAACTCTTGCATAGCTTATAGATATTCTATTACAGAGCTGGCAGTCCTAACGAGTATTTAATATATCAAACTGGAAAACTTAATTTGAGTGGTATTTTTAAATACAGGCAAACTGTGCACAGTGATAGAGTAACAATGTGATACATCCAAATAAAATCAACAGAAACATATCTGTCTGTAACTGGTGCTAGACATCATGGATAAATTCCCATTCTTAATCTCCTAGATATTCCTATTTACTACACTGTGTGGTATAGAACATGTTTTCCTTTTTTTAGTTAATACTATCCTGTTTCAAAGAAATCGGGCAAATATGCCTTTACTAAGGGCCCTTGTAGTATGAGATGGCATGTTAGTAATAGTGACAGTGTCTGAGATCTTTCTTACTCAAAGGATAGTGGAATTTTATCTCTTGGTTTGATATTTAGAGACCTGATTCTTATAATTTGTGATTCATTTCAGTCGTCAGCCTTAAGAATTGTATATTGTATTTGGCTTAGTTTTCATATAAAAATACAATGAATCTTGTGAAAACTTTTGTCATCTCAGTTAAGCTGGACAGATCCTGAAATCTCCAGTATTTACTTTCATAAAGAACTCCAGTTAAGTGTGTGAACTGAGTAAAATGAATAGAAGCTCTGGATTTTACTCTGTGTTTGTGTCTGCTACCCCTTTAGTTCTGTCCTTCCAGGTAGATGGTAAGCTATTAAACTGGGGAAAAAATCTGTATCTTTGCCCTAGAATGCTATTTGGGTTGGAAAAAAGTGTGCCACAAATTAAATACTATAATAGTATTATTTTCATGAATTGCAGGAAAACTTATCTAAGTAGACACTGTTTAAGTAAACTCTTTTTTTTACCCTTGACATATTTTCTTACAAAAAAAAAAAATACAACAGGTACTATGGTGCACAGAGCTGTAATAAATTGTCCAAGGATATAAAAAACATATTGTTTTGTTCTAATTGCCTGAGTTTATGATTACATGACAATTTCAGTCTCCCCTGGTACCTGAGCAGTTATCATTTTTATGCTAAAAGCAAATAATGAGTGTGTAGGATGTACCTCTACAGCCATTTGATAACGCAACTGAAAAATTAGGGTACTCTGAAAATCAAAGGAAAGTTTTGACAAGTGTAATGTGTGTACTTAAAATAACCTTGATTAGCTGGAAGGATGCAAATTGTGGAGTAGAAAACCTTATGTAATACAGATTAGTTTTAAAAATTGTTTGTCTTGCCTTCTAGTCATGTAGTGAACACATTGGAAAACACTATAAAGTGATATATGTGCATCATTGGTTTTCCATGAACTAGCAGACAGAAGTAGCAGCGTGCACTGATAAGTGCACCTGAAAAATAAATCATTTAAAAACTGTGTGCACATCGCAGGTTGTTACAAGCATAACTTTTAGATGTCTTTAGAGTAGGTCATTCTGCCCTCAGTTATGTCTGTGTAATACCATGTAAAGCAAATATAATTGAAGGCAGCCTTTTGCCATCAGCCCAGGGATAAAAGGCTCGATTGTAGATATCTTACTTCAAAACATTTTGAAGGTTTTCTCACATCTTTTGTCATTAGTGTGTAAAGCAGTAGTCAGCACTTTGTATTAATTTTAGCTGTACCTTTTGGTCGATTACACAGCCCAAAAAATACACTTTTTCTCCAGGATAAATGCCTGATTTTCGTAGAATGAACCTGTCACAGATGATTGAAGAAAAGGATTGATTCCTTAATAGAAAATGTTTAGTGTCATAGGAATGAAAGTTTGAAATTTGAAATTTTTGAAATTTTAGATAGCATCAAGGAAGATTTTTTTTTTTTTTTTTTTTTTGTTATCATAACATAGCACTTTTGTTGTAAAATTGGCATTTGTATATCCCCGTATAACCGGTTCCGGGTAGTTTCAAGCTTCCCAATAACCTGCAGCAAACACGTGTCCTTGGCAAAGGCCAGCTTTGAGCTGTAGCCACAGTAACAGCCAGAGCTTCTCTAAAGGCCCGTGGAGATTCATTGCATTGTTAGTTACTGGGTTACTCTCTTTTCCAGTTAGTTACTGGAAAAGATGAGTTTCTTTCAGCAGAAATATACGTACGCAGCAGGAGGAAAACTCAGCAGTACAATTATTAATTCCTTCCCTGACAAGTTTATAGAAGAATTACAATTTGTGACATTTTCTTAGAAATCTGTGCTGTTACTCAAAGTTGATGACCCCGGTGGCTAGTTTTGAAGGCAGCTTTAAAAAACTTATTTCACTGTAGGAAATATAACTAACTCTAGGAATTACAGATAATACTGAATTGTACATGCTGGAGCATTCGAATTAGGCTAAAAAAGCGTTAGTCTGGCCCACTTCTACAAAGATATTAGTGTAAGACAGTATTTTGTTCTCTGCAGTGTCATTAAGACCTATCAAACTAATCTAAAAGAGATAAGAACAGAGGACCAAATCAACGTGTCTAAAGCTGTTAGATAAGGTGAGCAAAGACTGCTCAAACATAATACATGTGCATATTGATATTTGTTCTTTTTTCTATAAATTTTGGTGGGAAGTGCATAGTGCTTGCTGTAGAAACACAATATGTAACTTTTATCAGCAAAGGAGAGAAAACAACAATCTACAGATTGATGTTGTCATAACTTTAATTCATATTGAAGTATTTGGGGGATTTTTTTTTTTTTTTTAATCTGTCCTGTTGATGATTCATGTTGCGTAAAGCTTCTGGAGCCACAGAATGTTGTATAATATTTCACTATTGGACTAGAACTCCTGTATTCAGTGTGCTGTAACTGATTCAAATATTTAAAAAAAATAGATATTCTGATATTTTAAGTACAGGGGTTTATTTATATATTTTTTTTTTTAATTGCTCTTTCACCAGTGTAAAGAAGTTTGAGTGACTGCTCTATTTGATCAAAATGGTGGACACTGAAAACCAGCTCTATCCCCTTACTCCCTTGGAGGAGGATGATATAGGCAGCCCTTTATCTGGAGAGTTCCTGCAAGGTATGGAGAACATTCAAGACCTCTCTCAGTCTCTAGGTGATGATAGCTCTGGAGCTTTAAGTTTAACAGAGTTCCAGTCATTGGGAAATGGTCCTGGATCTGATGGATCAGTTATAACAGGTAAGATACTTTTGATTTTACCATAAAACTTTCTTTTAGAAATACATAGTGACAGAAATTTAAAACTTTTTAATGCAATAATTTTTTTTTATGACTAAGTGACACTAGAAATATATAAGGTGATTATAGCATGGTCTTAAAACATTTAAGGCTGAAGTTAATTTAGTGGGCAAATGTCGCTGAGAAATTGCTGTAACATAAAGTTGTTGTTTTAAATTATTATTAGTGTCAAAACATTTTTCAAAATAACTTTTTAAAATCACTATTACTAGCAAAGAAGTTACTATGTGTTGTAGTAATTTAGGAAGTCACAATATTGCGCTAAAAGTAATTCCCAATCTTTTAAAGTTTCTTGAAATCGCGTATATTTGAAAAGTATAGTGAAATGTTTGCCAGAATGTACAGTCTAACCCTTGAAAGCTCACCTAGAGTTCCAGTTTAGTTTACTGATGTTTTGAACATGCTGGTTTCTCCCTCTTCTCAAGAGTGGCATTGTTCAGCTAATGACTGGTTAAAGTAACAGCCTCAGAGTGCTCATACATTACGTAGTCTCTAGTCAAAAGATCTTTGCAAGCAGCTTTGTTTGAAACAACAAAATATAAATAATCGAAGCGGTGTGGGACACTGCAATAATGTCAGTAAAGTATTCCTTTTGGAACTGTGGTTTTACAGATCTTTTAGCAGTAGAGCCATTTCTGGTTGTTTTACGTTATGTCTCGATTTTGAGTGTCTTACTTGAAATCAATACCCAGGCTGTGATCACAATTTTATCTTGCAAAAACTGCCCTAATACTCCTGAGGTGTGTCTCTGCTCAAATGGTTGAAATGAATAGTGTGAATTTTGAATGGAGGAGAGAGACCTGCCTCTTGGCACCATTGCCCAGAGGAATGTTTGTAGAAATATGATTTGGGTCCTTTTTGGTTGTAGATCTTGCCTTGTACAAGAGAAGTTTTTATGTGCCGGGTTTATAACATAGTCCTTCTGAGACATGAGGTTTTTTAATTATTCGTGTGGTACAAGCCCTACAATAATTTACATCAGCTTCTACTGTCACCTTCTAATTTGATTAGTCAGTGCTCATTGCAAAAAGTTCTAGTTTTGCTGTTAGAGAAGATGGAAAATGTAAACTTTTAAGACTCAAATTCCATAAGGCGAGTAAAAAGAAATACAAATCACACTTTAAAAAAATCCTGGGTTTTAGGCTGTTCTTGATGACTCTGATGCCTGTAGGCTTGGCATTGCTGGCAATGCAGACTCTGAGTTCTAAGCCAAGGTTTTTTCCAACATAATACTTGCTGACCTACATTCACGAGTGTTTCTTAATCTTTCTGTTAAAATAACACACCCATTAATTTGCTGAAGTCTTGTGGTGCGAGTTGCAAGATGGAAGATAAAAGAAAAAAAATTTCTGGCCTCAGAAAATATTTTCCTCAAAGAAGGTGGAAATATTTATTGAAATAATTACGGTTGGAATGTGTTAGTTCTGTAACATGTTCATTTAGTGGTAAAATATCTGGAGAATTTATTTCATTATACAACAATTCAGAAATGCTTTTCTCATTATAATCAAAAGGTAAAATATCTGAGCAAGGCTTCAATTTCCTTGATTTCCTTGCCATCTTGAACGGCAAGATGAGCTATTAGTAACTTTGTTGGAAAGAACGAGTGACAAGTTGAACAGATATTGTGATACACACTTGAAGTCATGCAGGGTTCTATTCGATTGTGATTTTTTGGGGGGTTTTGGGTTTGTTTTTTTTTATATTTTGTACCATTTTTTGTTGAGCAGCAGATACATGTTGAATACTGCTTTTCAAATTTAACTTATTTGTGAAGACGGTACATATGCATTTTGAGGTTAAGAAAATTTCCTTGATTTAAAAGAAGCATTCCGTACTTTTTAGTTATTTATATTGAGTTGTGGGATAAAAAAAATAATTCAAGTTCACATCGAATTAAGAAACATTTGAAAAAATCAAAGTAAAAAATGGATGGAACACGGGAAAATCCAAAAGACCTTGGTTTTCTCTTATATTGTGTGGTGTATATTTATTGAATCCTCAAGAACCATTATCATCCTTCTAGTTCTTGTTATCAGGGTTACTTTGGTAAAGCTTTTTGTTTGTTGACATTGTATGTCTTGTCAAAATTAGCAGGGTAAACCCTGTATGTTGTGTGTGTTTGCACTGTTAATATACATTTTAATTACTTTTCAAACACTTGTGGCCAAATTATTGGTTCACTTAATGCCTATTAACTCATGATTATTTTTCAGAATATGCTCATTTTTGTGTGGATTTAGTGTGGAAATGGTATCAACCTTGGTAGTATAGTATTTATGAAGTGTTCCTTTTTCTTTTAGACACCCTTTCACCAGCATCCAGTCCTTCATCCATTAATTTTGCCACAGCTCCAGGTAGCATAGATGAATCACCCAGTGGAGCATTAAACATTGAATGTAGAATTTGTGGGGATAAAGCCTCAGGCTACCATTACGGAGTACATGCTTGTGAAGGTTGTAAGGTACAGTCGTAATTTTCTTTTTAAGAACCTAAATCATGTTGCTTTATTTACAGGGTTCTATGAAGATAAACATTTGTTACAGAATTGTAATCGCTAGAATTATATTCATTAAATATTTATTTGAATAATAAACCAATCTGTGATCTTTTTTTGGAAATAAATTGTTCCAGTACCACAACTGGATACCGTAACTCAATACCAGACCTTCATCAAGCAGGGGCAATTCACAGTGATAATCTTAATGCTGCTTTTCTGGATATAGCTAGTTAAATGCTAAAACAACTTAAAACACTAAACTGTGACTAAAAGTCAAAGCCTACTTGCTCCACTAGTGTTTTATTTGTGTTGGGAGTATGGCTGTGAGAAGCATGTGATTTTGCTACATTTCCATAACAGCTGTAATAAATCCTGAATTTCTCATCTCCACCACATTCTGCCTGAATCACTTAGTATTGTGCATCTTGTAGTTTTGGGGCCAGTGCACGTCTCTGGGGCAAATTAATGTTATCATTAATGTATAATTTTTGGGATAATATGGCCCAGGAATTATAAGATTCTTTTCTTTTTCCTTCTAATGTTTTTAATGTTTTAGTTTTCCTTTTTTTTTCCCCCCTAAATGATAATGTAAGGTGAAAGAAAGAGTTGTATACGTGTACACTTTTCTCTCGTGCTCAATGTCAGAAGATAATTCAAATATAAATCTTTCAGAATAATGCTAGAATCTCTGTTAGAGATGGGGAGCCAATTCACAGTCAGATGTGTCTCACAGTCTAAATGACATGTTATTATGTCACGTGAAGCCAAATGTTGCAATGTCTCTAAAAAATTTTGCTAACCCTGTGATTTCATGGTATGAGATTAGCATTGCATTGCAGTATCAAGACATCGCAGTAAGATCAGTTGAGTTACAGGCTTCTCTGTAATGCTAATTTTTGTGCCTTTGGCTTTTTCTATACGCGTGCTGTGTTGTCATACCCCTCCCATCTGCTGCGTGAGGAAAAGATGCGTTAAATCTGTGTGATTTACGCATGCAAAAGCAGCGTAGGATTGTTTTGCTTAATCCTTAAGAGCAAATCTACTCAGGTTCTCTCTCAAGAAAGAAGCTTGAGCTACTCCCTCCTTTCACATTTGCTATTCTACCCACTGCTTCGCTGAGTAGCGCAGGAGATTCTTGCCTTTGGGCAGGTTATACTTTGCATATTATTTTGTTAGTGACATCAATAAACAATAAAAGAAAAAAAAAAACAACCTGTATGATTGAAGCTTAGCACTCAATAGTCTTTAACGTTACATATTGTTTTCTCAAACTTTTTATAGGGTTTTTTTAGAAGAACGATTCGATTAAAACTCATCTATGATAAATGTGATCGCAACTGCAAAATTCAGAAAAAAAATCGTAATAAGTGCCAATACTGTCGTTTCCAAAAGTGCCTTTCAGTTGGAATGTCACATAATGGTAGGTAAGAGTGCCCTTAATAATTTAGTTGTTCCTGCCCAGGGTCTGCTTCTAGAAGCAGGCACTTGGATAGCTTTTTTACTTACACGTGAGTCAGATTTTTACAGTAGAGACTGGGGGGGGACACACACAACAGTTTCTCTAACGAGTAGTTAATGTAACTGATACACAGCTGCCAAATGTACTTTATGAGCTTTACACAATTGTGCTGGATGTCTGTTTGTCCATATGAATGTTCATTTAGTTGCTTTCTTCACCCAGAACTTTGGCACCAGTAGCCCCATTGAAATGAGTTTCAATACCAGAAGAATTCTGATGAAGGGCATTGTGAAGGAGTAGGAGGAGAACAACTAACTCATTGTGGGGGAGACTGACGTAGGACAGAATTCTGTAGAAAAGCAGGCTTCATTATTTTTCAGGTTACAGTGCAACAGCTCTTGGGCAGATGGTTCAGGGGAGGGGGGGGCGAACATCTGTGCTGACTGTGGAACAGGAATCTAGTAGGTGGCTTGTTAAATGGAATGGTAAAAATTCAGTGTCTAGATATCAACTTTAAAAATTATGTTATTGTTTATGTTCATGATTTAAGATAAGGCTGGTACGCCTGTGGCTTACAGGCTGATTTCAACCCACAAGGCAGTGTTATGCACAGTATGTAGCTTGCTAAGCAACTTTGGAAAAGAGGGAGAGGCCAAGCCATGAGAAAGCACATTTTGCTTGGCCAGATGACAGCAGTTTGCTTTTCCTGTGTAGGTCTGATAGTGTCAAGGCTGAACTTGGGAGCAGATGCAATTTGGGAGCTGGTGAAAAGTAGGTGAAAATGCTGGGCTAGGTAAAAAGCTGTGGGATGAGAGATGAACTTCCTAAGAAAACTATGCAGACAAGATGGATGGGGTGGGGACATGGTTGGGGAAGCTGCCTATGGCACTGTAGGCTAAGAGTCCTAGCAAGAAACATTTGGAGAGTTGACTTTCTGGTTCTGGGGAAGTCTGGCTCCCTTGTGGTAAGCCTTGACTGAGATGAAGGTCCATTGGGAGAGGGTTGATAGGCTCTGCAAGATTGGTGATAACCTTCATGAAGCAGCACATTGAGGAAGAGTGTGCCAACCAACAAAGTAGTATCTCGGGCAGGAGTTGAGCAGGAAGCTGTGCTGGGTTGGCAGGAGTTAACATTCAGTTGAAGCTGTTCCATCTTAGTAAAACATTGTGGTCACCTGTGCTCCAGCTGAAGGGACTAGGAGTTTTACTGCAGCAAACACATGGGAGGCAGTGGGGGAAGGAGATGACTGCTAACTTGCAGGAGATACTTCTCAGGAAAAGAGCTAGAACTAGATTTACAACCATGACCTTAAAACTGTAAGTTTTGGTTTAGAGCAAATATTCTTCCACTTTTCCAATAGACCCATGGCTAGATTCCAAACAGGCTTTCCATTTTGGACTTCCACTGAAGTCCAAAACTGTATTTCACATCATGCCTAGAGTCACCTCCATATGTTAAGAAACACTGTTGTGGTTTAGGCCGAATTGGCTGACTACAGGTGACAAATGCTCTCGCCCCACCTCTTGCTCCGAGGAGAGGAGGAGGAGGGATAAAGAGATTTACAAGTTTAGAAGGAACTAAACTACTTTAATGAAATACTAATAATAAAAAAAAAAAAAAAGAAAATGATGATATAGATACAATATATAAAAAATGCATCAAGCTCCCAGGATGACGTCACCAGCAGGCACTTGGGAAGTCCCAGACTGGACTTAGTGATGGACAGGAACTGGATTCCAGCTCTGGAGTCAAGAACACACAGATCAGGATCAAAGGCAGATGAAGAGACAGGGTCCTTTTTGGATGTCGGCCATTGGAGAAATAGGCTGACCCTGTGATCCCCCAGCTTTTCTACAGAGCATGGGGCAGATGGGATGGAATATCCTGTTGATCAGGTTTGGTTCACCTCTCCTGTCCACTCCTCCCTGCAGGTGGACCTTGGTTGTTATAGCAATGAGTATAAGCAAGAGCCTCTCTGCCTACCATTCCTTGGCATCAACTCTAAACAGAGGTCTCCTCACTCTGAGAACTGGCAGTTTTCTGCACAATATGCCGTTAATTTCAGAGAGTTAGAAGAGGCCTAACTAAGAAGCAAAATTACTGAACAGAAAGCTGGTTCTATTCTACCTCAAACCAGGGCAGACACCTCCTTTTGTCATGAAAAAATTCCTTGGGCATGTTGAAGGGTTAATTCTGCCTGTGCTCTGAATTGCTCACTCTGAGCAGTGAGGTTCTGTCCTCTCACTGGAGGTGAGAGGACCCCACTGAAATGAGGTAAGAGTAACCAGCTATGTTAGCAATCTCAAAACCTTGCACACCATCAGAGCATAAGGGCCCTTTTAAAAAGAAAGCTGGTGTAGTTTTAAACTGAAGAAGGGGGTGGACATGCCTATTTTATTGCTAGATGGCAAGACCACTTGCTGAAGAACTGGGAGACCTCCATACGCAGCGGTGTTTCAAACTTGCATCTCCTACTTCTCAAAATAATATCCTAGTGACTAGACTAGAAGAACCATACGCAGTGGTGTTTCAAACTTGCATCTCCTACCTCTCAAAATAATATCCTAGTGACTAGACTAGGAACTCAAACCCTATTCTCATCCTCTCCAGTCTTGTAGGGCGAATTTAGTGAAAGAAGCAGCATAAAATGCTGTGTCTAGGAGGAGGTTTTATTGACTATAGGCGTTGAGCATAAATCCAGGTCTCTGATCTGTTTTATTCTCACTAGACAGTACAGATGTGTTGAACTGAATATCTGGTGCATAAAGAACTGAATGCCCCAGCAGGTTCAGCATCAGCAATGGGATTTGGGCCCAACTCTGTTGCTCCCGAGGCAGCTCTCCAGCTGCCATGTGTGCTCTATGCCAAGCTCCTGCCATGAACTTTCTCAGTTTTTCAGAATTCCCAAGCTGGACTTTAAGTTTCGTGTTGGGAGTTGTAAAACATAAGAGGAAGAGAACAAAATACAACTACTTAGGAAATGTAGAAGGAAAAAGGCACGCGTTCTAGCTCACTACAGTTTGTGATTTGAAACATCTGATTGCCTTTGCGTTCTAGCTCACTACAGATACCAGTTTGTGATTTGAAACATCTGATTGCCTTCAGTTTAGCATATTGACTTAATAGTCACCGACTATGTTGGAAAGGATTAGATTTTTTTTTACTCATGAGTTTATCATAATAAAGATACTATCTCTACCTCAGTTTTTCTAGACAGAAATTCTTACTTATCTAAGTGGTAAAAGGTTTTTGTTTAACTTACATTTGTTTTACAATTATGTCTTCCCATCAGCAATACGTTTTGGAAGAATGCCAAGGTCTGAGAAAGCCAAGTTGAAAGCAGAAATTCTAACCGGTGAAAATTATGTCGAAGATTCAGAAATGGCAGATCTTAAATCACTCGCCAAAAGAATTCATGATGCTTACCTGAAAAACTTCAATATGAACAAGGTTAAAGCCAGAATCATCCTCGCAGGGAAAACTAATAACAATCCAGTAAGTACTTTTGCTGTAACTTTAAAGTAAAGCTGGCGAGTACGTAAAGTGATTATAATAATTTGTTAAACTCTTAAGCAAATCTTTTTGAAAATAAATATCATGCTGATACAGACATGAAATATGCAAAAGGAATACCCGTGGTAAATATGTTTTTTTCTAGCCACTATGAGAATAATAGGAAGCTTCAGGAAAATAATGTGATTAACCTGTAAATGGAAGCTCATAACCTTAAATTCTATTAGACACAAGGTAAAGAAAATCAGTTCTTAATTAAAAAAAAAAAAGTGATATCTGAATGTAAATACCTTTTGGTATGGGTGGGGGAAATGGTTCAAAATTAATTTCTTATTATGAAAGGGAAAAAAAAAATGGAATAAATCCTGTTATCTTTTATGGTGTACAGGAGCTCTGTAAGACTTTTGTTTTAATCACAACAATATTAATGGCAGGAGGGGGAAGAACACTTGAGTTTGTAATTCTTTGTTTACGGTTCTGGCCGTTTCTTCACCCAGTCTTCGTGGTCTTTACCTATGGTTACTTTGAAAGGGAGAAGCAAGCAGAGTTGGGAAGACACATACACTGCAGAGGTCATTTTTCTTTCAGGATAACTTAGCCAAGTATTATACCAAATAGTGAATGTTCTCTAAGAATTTTACTTAGCTCATACAACTTAATATGTGTTCTGAAATATTTACTAGTTGCACAACATCGAGATTTAAGTCTGAGCCATACTGTTTTAAGAATTGGGAATAATTTTCCTAAAAAATAATTAATATGGTAAGAAACATCATTAGACAATGAAGAATTTTGGCTATTTAATGCTATCAACTGCTTTTTGTTTTGTAGCACAGGAGATAGTATAACTATTGTAAGGACTGACTTGTTTCACTTTATGCATTTTTTTTCTTATTTTGTTGTGATTTAAGTTAATTAAATGTAGAAGATAAAATTGTTGGTAAAATAAGATACTTAATATCAGTAAACATTTGCAGGGAAGGTTTTACATACGCCATAATAAAACCATATACCTGTGGGGATGACTGTTATAAAAATTGTAAGCAAGCTGTCTTCTATAATTATGGAATTTGGTGTATTACAGTTTAGCTTAGCCATGCATACAGGCTTCTACATTAAGAGTCTTTTTCACTGGATTAAAGAGATCCTTAAAATTAAGCATAGGCTTAAATTTTTTGGAGGGTACAAGCTGGCAGAAGGCTGCAGTAAGTGCCATGTGTTAACACCTTACCAAGTAGGTATCTGCATAAAAGTCCCTTTCAAGCTTGTTATCACATCAGAATCATAATTTACAATCTGTGTTGTACATGCAGGGATTCTAGGTCACTGCACCCTCATTTTTGAGTTTGCATTAATGCAGTCAAGGCTCTCAGATTATAATAATCCAATTGACAAGCTAATAGTGGCTTGCATGTGTCTTGGTAAATTTACAAGTAAAAATTAATGAGGAATTAGATCTAGTATATTATAAACAGGCAGCTTCCTCATTCTTCAGTCTGCAGGGAAGAAGAGAGGTTCTTTAATCTGTTTCATCATTTCTGGGGAAAACAGACATTTTAATTTTCTTTTGACTTTTTAACAGGAAAAAAAAATGAAGGGTTTGTTGTTGGTAATCCATCTGTTTCTGAACAATACATTATCAGATTTCAGTGAATCCTGATTCTTGGCACCACTGTAACTCATTTCTGCATGAACAAACATTTTTCATGATGATGAGGTATCACTTTTAAATTGAAATGGTCTTTGCAGAAAACAAGTGTGGCCATAGTAAAATGATGATAAATTCCCAAAAGATTACATGATAGCCTACTTCTTTTAAAGGGTTTAGAAATGTGGTGGGTTTATTGCTTTGCCACTTTCTGCTCGTATCTGTATGCACAGAGGAAGTGCTGTTTGATACAACTCTAAGTACTGAAATGAGATGGAATGTGTAGTTGCCATAAGCATTTAAAAATGGAAAACTGGGAAATCAGCATGTTTGACGTTTTTTCAAATGAAATAAGTGAATTCTATGAGTTTCTAACAGGAAACCAAGTGTTCCTCATGCTATTTAATCTGAGATGAGCAAAACAGCACAGGCAAGGTGCTTTGCTTAGCATTTCTGGACGTAGATTTATGTTCAAGGTCAATTGATATGACTTTGGTAGGCTGAGAAGCGTTGAGGTTTGTTGTTTTGCTGTTGTGAATTGTCCTCTTCAGATACATATCAAACTATTTTTGAGTTCTGACTGTTCTCAAGAAAGTCTGAATGTTTGGTTTTTTTGTTTTTTTTTTTTTAATATGATGTTTTAAGAGACTGGCTCATGACATTGTAATGCACCTACCTTTTTAAATTAAGGTGGTTATGGAAAAGACCACGATCAAGACTGAATTTTGTGTTGTCTGACATTCTGGTGGGATTCTGGGTCTAGAGATGACTTAGCATTAAATGGAGCTACAAAGATGAGCTGAATTTCTTTGGTAGATCAGCTGGGACATTCTATGAAAATCAGATAATAAAACACAAGAGTAGTATAGGGTTCACATTCTTTTGCAGACACGCTGTCCTGTATTTAAATGGCTGTCTGTATTCCCACTAGGCTACAGCAGGAAAGCTTCATGATGTGCATCAAGTGTAGGTAGCTTAGGAATCCATAGGAGCCACAGGCAGAATAACCTGGGCTTCTGGAGAAGGTAAGATGAGTCTTTTGTGAACCTTCTGGGACTTGCTTGGAACTGGATATCTGCATACTAAGCACAGTACTTCTGGATCTTTCCTCTAACGACTGCATAAAACTAGATTAAAGATATGTCATACATACTTACATTTGACTAGTGGTGTTTACAGAGCAGGCTTGTTCTTAGAAGTTGCAGTTTGTAGCTCTGTAACACATGGTTTCTCTTCATGCAGACCTATGAAAGAACTCAAGGTTTGTTAATAGTTGAAGACCGACTAGCACAAAAGTTAAAGTCCGTCAAAAATCAAGTTCTTTAGGAAACCAAGGATTAATAACCATTAGTTTGTAACTGCATTTGTATTTTTTTTTCTCTGTAGCCATTTGTTATACACGATATGGATACCTTATGTATGGCAGAGAAGACCCTGGTGGCAAAATTGGTAGCCAATGGCATTCAGAACAAGGAAGCAGAAGTTCGGATCTTCCACTGCTGCCAGTGTACGTCTGTAGAGACTGTCACAGAACTTACTGAATTTGCCAAATCTATCCCTGGCTTCTCCAGTCTTGACTTGAATGATCAAGTGACACTGTTAAAATATGGAGTTTATGAAGCCATATTTGCCATGTTAGCATCTGTGATGAACAAGGACGGGATGCTGGTAGCCTATGGAAATGGTTTTATAACCCGGGAGTTCCTGAAAAGCCTGAGAAAGCCATTCTGTGATATCATGGAGCCCAAATTTGATTTTGCAATGAAATTTAACGCACTAGAATTGGATGATAGTGATATATCCCTTTTTGTTGCTGCCATCATTTGCTGTGGAGGTAAGCATTACCTATTTGTTCTTTAAGGTAATAAATTTTAACATTTTCTTCATGCGAATGAATACTTTTAATGGAAAAGCTTACATATTTCTTGAAGATTCAATAATACCATTACCAATTTTCCCTTTTGGTGTGTTTCATGGAAGATTAACAGTCTTGATTCTGTGTTTTGCTTTGCAGAATTGTAGACATGCTTGGAATTACTGTTTAAGCTCACTTACAGAGGGGTCTAAGTTACTCTCTGTTTTTAAAAGTGGCGTATGAAGAGTGTTGGTAGTTGTTTTGTTTGGGCTTGGGAGGATTTTTATTTTTTTGATCTTTAAGGCTGGGTTGGAAACAGTATTTGTATCCGCCAAATGGGCAGAAAAATTCTATGTAATGAGAGTGGAGGCAGGTGCAGATTATAGCTTTGCTCATCTTTGACATTTGCTGATTGCATCACGTAATGAGTTCTGCACAAAAGCACAGCTCTGATGCACTTCCTGTGTTCTGATTTTAATGTCACAGGCTGTTTTAAACAAACAGCTTGCTTAGCTAATTAAAAAAAAAAAAAAGCTGATGGTATTTTAAAAAATTATTTCATAGTATCTAAGGATATGGGATAAGCTTGTTGTTTGTTTGTTTGGTTTTTTTAATTCCTGTTGTTTGAACTGCTCCTGAGTGAAGGGACACAAATGTAATAGTAATTTATACTCCTTTCATTCCTCTAGAAAGTTAGGATGTTCATATTTACGGTTCAGTTCAAAACTATCCCAAAGCATTTTGAGAAAGGAAAATAAAAGATCAAGAAGGTTCCAACAGCTACTCCTGCCTGCCTTTTTTTGTTTTCTGCCAAACTCAGAGGATGTTTCGCTTCCTATGTTGCACCCTCAGCGATTGCAAGAAGAGAGATACCATCTACAGACATTCAAAAGCTTCATGTGCTAGTTTAGAGAGCAGGTTCCCATCAAATCTTGAATTACTTTTGCACAATACATTGGTATTTTGACGTGTTTTCAAACGTCAAGAGAGTTGTTTGCAGGCAAAATGTTTTGGGGTTGGTTTTTTTTTGTGGTTGGACTCAATGATCTCTGAGGTCCCTTCCAACCACTACAATTCTGTGATTCTGTGCTTTAACTCCAGCATTGGTGATGACTAACAAAAATTAAATAAACCAGAGTAGAGATGTGCACTTTCAACCTCTTTTCCTCTAAAATAATCCCCTGTAGAATTCCTACATCAACTGCAGGCACCTCTTAATTCATCTGTCTGCAGTAAAACATTAATTGATACCCTTATTTTTTTTTCTGTCTACTCATTTATGCTTAGGACAGATTCTACACTGGAAATGGCTGTCTGG